ATATATTAGAAGTTGCCTAAAAAAATATTGATAGCGCTTGATCAAGGAGGGGCAAATCTCTCTTAAATACACCCCTGTTATACACAAAAATTATTAATAATCCAATTATAATAATTGTGTTTATATTATAGAATAATTAAAAAAAAATTTAGCAGGTTATTATAAGTGGCACACTGTAAATTTAAATTTAAATTAATATTAAAAAAAAATTAATATTAAAAATAAAATTAAAAGTTTAATTTTGATAAATATATTGGTAACTGCGATTTAACGATGAACATCATAGTTATCATAGATGAATCCCAATTCAAAAGATAAACTCATAGTCTCATACATCATATATGAGAAAAAAGAAAATTATTAACTATGTACTTAGTACTGTTCTTATAATGAAAGTACAAACTTAAATAGTTATAACGTCATGAAATTTATATATAACATATAAAATTCCTTGATAAATATAGTCAAATGCAAAATAGTGTCCTAATAATAATACACCATATAATTAAGGTTCATAATAAACGTATGAGCAGAAATGAATCACTGCGCATAATACAACAATGCGCGTGGAAAAAAAAATCGTTTTCATGTCGTAAAGTGTCGCAAGAATTTCGGGGGGCGCGCCCTGGCGTCTCGAGCGCATGAAAAAAAAAGCTCGTAAAACAGTGAAAAATGAACGGATTGAATTGATTTTTTTATCATATCTCAGGAATGTCATTGGGCGGGTCTGATGAAAATTTCAAACCTTAAGTCGTAAAACGCTGGCGTCAGCGAGCGTTTTTCTCAAAAAAGGTCGAAATTTTAAAACGCTCGCGGGCGAGCGGCAAAAATTTTCCGACCTTTGTCAATAATTTTCCCGGAGTCTGGTGACCGAGTACTTTCGTTGAAAAAAAAATTTTTGGAAATCCAAGCACGCTATGTAATTTTCCTAGTNCAAAAATTTTCCGACCTTTGTCAATAATTTTCCCGGAGTCTGGTGACCGAGTACTTTCGTTGAAAAAAAAAATTTTGGAAATCCGAGCACGCTATGTAATTTTCCCAGANAAATCCAAGCACGCTATGTAATTTTCCTAGTAAAGCGTTTTTTTCCTTGTTCTATTATATTATAAATTATGTTGTAATTTTTTTTATCATCTTGTATTATTACCTATTTTAATGTATTAGTAATTCGTTTACAGACTAATTCTTTTTGGTAATTTTTAGTTTCATATATAAATTCTGTAAAATTTTAATTATACTTAATCAAATTTGTGTATATTTGTGAACTATAATTTAAAATGGGCGTTATCACTTTAAATAAATAAATACATATTTTATAAATCAAAATTGTTATTGAAATTCGTACCACTCCATTAGAATTCCTATAAGTTTACTATTTTGTTTTTTAGGTGGTAGATTTTTAAAAGAATTTCAAAAAATATAATTATTGATACCTTAGTTTTTGCATAAGAACTCTGATGTTACTCAGATTAGATGGTTACGAATTGTTATTAGCACCCATTTTAAATTGATCATAATATCTTTCACAATCAAATAAATATTGAAATTATTGGCAAAAATATAAAGCAGATAGTTTGCTTAATTATTAAACATAAGCAATTCATTTCAAAAACCATGACACCTTCTTTTATTGATAAAATAGTTTAAAATGTGCCAATAACTACACTTTACTCTATATAATAATTTTTACATAATAAATAATAATATGCGGATATACAAACTTGTTTATCTTTCCATTCTTTTAAAATAGTTATAAAACGTTGATTATGCTATATATAAAAAAACTTTTTAAGATAAAGCTAACAAATAGTAAATTTCCCTAGAAATTACATAAGCTATTTTAAATCGCGTTCAAAATACAATTTACAGTGGATCACATGTGAATACAGAATTTAAGTCACTGGTTTGTTTTTCTTTATAATTTATAATAATATGTAACTATGAAACGTACTACTGAACTTAATATGAAACTTCTAAAATCAATGTATTATGTTTTTAAAATTTGTTACTATATATTTTAATTTTGAAAATACTCCTTAAAATCAAGATTTTCTTTTAACTATTTAAACAAAAATTATCTTGTTTTTTTCTCTGTTCATGTTTTAGTTTAATATCGATTTATACATTAAATACATTTTTTTTTTCAACGACATTTTTAAATAATCGTTGTACAGACCAATTCCTCTCTCAATTTTTTCATTGAATTTCAATTTACGACCTACTTTTGTGAAAAACATTGTTTGAAATGACGAATAAATGTTATTACTGTAACACATATTATTACTGTATAAGTATTGAATGTTTTTTAAGCTTATAGTAATCCCCATTGTCAACAATTGACGAGAAAGAATGAATAACGCAATTGTTGTTGTTTTTATATTTTAAATCATCGTCTTGATCTCAAAAACTACGTCGCTCATCATATTCGAACAGATACATTTACTTTATTACTGAATTTTTAGGCTATTTTAAAAGAGCATAATCAAATGTTTTTATTCCATTAAATGTTTTAAACTTTAAATGTAAATAATATGATAGAATTATATTAATGGATGCGGGCGCCTGCGTCAATTCTATTTCTTAATTATTGTAGCAAAGGTTTTACTTATATTAATTGGAATAATCTTTGCCGTGATAACCTATTGGAAAATACACACGATGGAGTATATTTTCAAAGCTTTCTTGTATTATCAAATCATTACAATCAATTAAAATACACTTATACGGGAAATCTCCTATTTTAACTCTCAATTTTTGAAAATTAAAGAGAAAAATTTTATCTTTTTAATGGACAAATTGAAATTTTTTCAAGTTATTTCAAATATTTTAATAATATACCCTATAAGAAAAATATAAAAAAAACATCTTTCCCTTAATGATTAATTATATAATATAACTTAATATAAGTATAATTTGTATATATTTTATTCTTACTGTTAATTATTTTTATTAGCATAAAATTATTTTTTAATTCAATAGTCTTTTACAATTTAAAAGAGTTTTGGACACAATAATATTGTAAATTCTGATGCTAAACACATTAATTTTAAATCATTAAATCAATATAATACTAATTTTGTTGAACATGGGAAATATTCTAATAATAATGACTGGCATACATTTTGAAAATACTAATTTTAAACAGACAAGCTATTAGATAAAAAAAAAATATTTTATTGAATTATGAAAAATTAAAAGGTAATCATTTTATTTAAATAGTCAATAGAATTTTCATACGGAAGATATTACTAAAAAAATTTTAGAGTGAATTTTTATTCTTAAATTTACTAAATTTAATACGACAATAGTTGAGAATTAAACATTATGTTTCCTCATTGATTATGCCATTAAGTTCTTAGAATCTATGGATATCCAGAGAATTGGGCGTCATTTAAAAAATATATTTCTAAATTTTGTATACTTGAGAGCGAGTGTTGAAGGATTTTCATCCGATTATCTCTTTTTAGAGACGAAAAATCATAGTAAACATTTTTGAAGCAAGACTCGGGTCTCAAATTGCATGACACATTTAATGTATAGAAAGATTATGTAGGAGATTAAATAAAGCCAAGGAGACTTAAAACATGGAGGGATTTTTACTCTATGCAGGATGATTTTATTATCATGTCTCAAAAAAAAAATATATTTTACTTTTAATAATACTTACATAGTAACATAATACTCAATTTTTATACCAGGTATTTTTATTAATTGGAAATCACCATATATATCTTGTCAATGAAATAAAGTTAAAGCCTTTCCATAATAAATGATTAACTGAAAAATGTTACTGATACATTCATTAAAATAAAAATAGAATAATAGATTTTCATAGTAATGTGTACAAAAAAATGTCATTTTAAATGAAGTTACACATATACATATACATGTATTATTTTCTTTAAGTATTTATCTATTATCTACTCATTTACATATGTAAAAGTGAATACTCTAATTGAATATATAATTATTTCAATAATTAAAAATGTCCAAAAAAAAAATGTTTATTTACGTCAGGTGCTTATCAATTAAAACTTATGCATATTAACACGTTTCTCCTTCCTCTAAAAACAAGTTTTTTTGAACTTCAATGACCCGTCGTAACCAAGAAAATTGTCTATGTGCTTAATTCGATTGGTCGGAAGTTACTAGAGCTTAGTAGTTAATTACCACTTCTATTAACATCTAATGAACGTAATAAATTTAATAATACTGCGGATGATAAATACAATCTAATGATAGATTAAATCTTAGATAAAGCTCACGCGTTAACTAATAATAACCGATTATTTATATAAACGGCATAAGAAATTGATTTCAGTGTTAATTCACAATTTCTAGTTTTCACGCCGCTTTCTAGACTTGATTTTTTTTACTCATTTATACGTGTTTAATAAAAGTAAATTTAACTCCAAAAATAATTATTTTCCATTTTATTTTTTATAATTAAAAATAATTTTTATCTTTTTTTCGGTTACCTTAATATTTAGTTGTTTATTTATAAAATGACGGCTATCGATCCTATTCTTTCGGTTACTCAAAAGCTTCTCAGGCAAAGAAAAGTGAGTTTACTTCTTGATCGAGTAGTGTAAGCTAAATTCAAATTAATTTGAAACTTATTACTTTATGTAAATTTTAAGTCATTGTTTACACATGTTACCAATGATTTTTTATAAGCGCAAAAAAATAGTAGTGGTCAAAATTTTAATTATATTTTATTGTGTATTTAAGTTCAAAAAAATAATCCTAACCTAATGTTGTTAACTACGTAAAACCTTTTTCATAAAATTATACTATGTAAACTACACCGTTTTATGCAGATAATTATATTTATTAGGTAAAAATCGTGGATTCGTCCAATAATATCACCAAAAAAACAATATATATATTTTTTCAATTTAATTAAAATATTATTGCTATTAAAATAAATACAATTTTATTATCAAATAGTTTTCTTATCATAATTATAAAATAAAAATCTGTTTGTCTTTTAATTTTAGACTTGCAGAAAAGTACTATGCATTCAACATCTCTTGGCTAAAAGGAATCAGTCATCAGTGTCTCACAGAGATTCAGATAAGGTACAGATACAGACACGATTTTCAACATTTATGTCATCAATCTTAGTGCTTTTACGACTCAATGCCGCAATGACAAACATTGTCTTTTATTAAATTAAAAATACAAGGAACACGTTAGATTTAAAAAGCATTAACTATTGTTATTAGTCATTAAATTAATCTAAACAAATCGCTAATCGGTAGACTACTTCCTTTAAAGTCAACTAATTTCCAATGTGAATTTTCGTTTTAGCCTTTACACATAGATACAGAAATCGATATCACACTATCAAAATCGTCCAAATTAAAAGAAAATGCAGTTAATATCATTAAAAGTGGCGCTAATATCAAATTCGGTACATTATTCACTGATCATATGCTTAGGATATCTTACGATAAACACGCCGGTGGTTGGCAAAAACCTTACATCACCCCAATGGAACATCTCAGCTTTCACCCAGCTGCCAAAGTCCTTCATTATGCAACTGAAGTAAGATCCTTAATTTTTAAATATATTTAATAAAAATATGTCTTATATTTAAGTTTGTATTTAACTATTTAATAATATAATTAAATGTATGCTTAATGGAATGATTTAAAGGTAACACAGATTAATGTCGATTTTTAAAATTATTAAAACAATTATAAAAAAACAGCTGTTAATTTTCTTTTCTTATATAGCTATTAAGCATCACAACTAAAATATTCACCATAGTAATTTGTTATTTGAAACTTTATTCTTAAAAATCATTATTAAGCTTTAAAATTTATTTTAACGTAACATTTAAACGCCAAACAATTCATTTTTCATAACAATTTAGATTAGTAAAAAAATATTGAATAATAAAATAAATTTATGCAATAATTTTACTCGTGTAACGAATGGCATAATTAAAAATTTAGGTCAAACTATAAGCCATTCAATATTTCTAAAATTAATTCTTGAAATTTATTAGTGCAAAATTATTTTTGTTAATTTATTTTAATGAACACAAAGGAAATATTTTGAAATGCTATTGAACTCGCACGTTTTCATTTCAAATTTGAAGTATTTTAATTTACAAACATTTTCGATTAAAACTTACACTGAAATTTGTGGTATTTACAGTTTGTAGGGTTTTAAATGAACAAAAAAACATCAAATCGTTTTTTCTTACGAGTAATTAAATTTTAAAGGATATTTTGTGATGTAATTACAAGTTGTAAACGCACTAAATATTTTTTATACTAATTTTTGTTTCTTCTTTTACAATCCTTCTAGGTAAAACGTTATTTTTTATGTGAATTCGTAGTTCTGTTGAAATAAATTTAAATAAAATTCAAAAATATAGAAAATAGTTTACAATAGTAGATCAAATACATTTATTTTATTTTTCTACAAAATATATTTTTAACCAAGTTTCTAAGAAGAAATCACAAATTCATGTACAAATATGAATTTAAATAATCATTGTATTCCTACATAATAACATTGCGGATGTAAACATCTGCCGTCCTTGTGCAGCTAAATCATTTGTAGGTCAATGTCCGACCCTAAACTAAATACAAACGATACAAAACGTCGTCTACAATAAAATAAATTGAATCATATTGCCTGCTATGGTCACGAAGTTAGCAATACGCAGGGACATATTACTTTGTGATTAACTGTTTTTAATTGGGAAAATATTGATGTGATTTTCATTATAAAAAAACATCCAGTCATAAAATATAACCATAAAATTACATCATTTGTCACGTATAACTCGCAATCACTTTCTCGGCAATTAAATTTTTTGTACCTAAGATATTAATAATTCGATTATAAATAATCGTCAAGCAAACTTTTCTTAATCACGCTGAATTAAATTCAAGGTGATTAACTAAAATTGTTATCTCAAAATAATATTTTTGTCGATAAATACCAATCGTTAAACTTTAATCAATATGTGGCTGTAAAAATTAAGACATGACCTATCGATTGTTGAAAATAATTTTTAAATTTTGATAATCCAATAGCTTTTCGTTATATCTGAAATGTTAATTTTTTGTTCACAAAATTAAAGTTAATATATTATTTTTTTCAGAAAGTTAATACTAATTTCAAACTACAAAATATTTAGTAAATTTTTATTTATAGGTGTTTGAAGGAATGAAAGCGTATAGATCAGTTCGGGGTCACATGAACTTATTTCGACCCGACCTCAACCTTGACCGGTTTAATTCTTCTGCAAAACGGGCCGGACTACCACAAATTGACAAAGACATTCTGTTAAAGTACATCGAACGGCTAGTGATGATAGATAACGAATGGCTTCCAATATCAGCACCCCTTAGCATGTACATAAGACCAAACCTGGTAGGAACAGATGTAAGTATTTGAACATTTAATTACGAAAATTATTACTAATGAAATGAAAGTTTAGCCATACAAATTCAGAGATGGGTTTGTTTGCCTTTGCATTTTAACATTTTATTTATATAATTCTTTAATAATGTATAAAGAACACATACAAGTGAAAATGTTTAAAAATTAATCTTTTTTTTATTCTGAAGGGTACTCTCGGCGTAGGAGAAACTGAAAAAGCCATGTTATACATAATCATGTGCCCCGTTGGTCCATATTTCTCCAGCAAATTTAAATCCGTTCGACTTATGGCTGACCCTAATTTTACCAGAGCATGGCCGGGTGGTAGTGGTGACAAGAAAATGGGTGCTAATTACGCATCTACCATATACCCACAGGTAAATATTTAATTGAAAGTTAACAAGTCTGACTATTAAGTCGAATTAAGTAAAAATTTCCGAGAATTATAAACATTTACTTTCTTACATATAAATTGAAGTTCGAAGACAAAACGGTCATAAATAAATCGTACGAGCGCCAAAGAGCAAATATAAATGACATATCAATATTTGATTATTATTCAATGGTTAATTGTATTTTTTTATTTTATCATTAAAAGGAAGTGAAATTATATGTAACCAACAGATTTGTTTGTTGAAATATTAGGACAACAATTTGTTCTCATGAAAGGCTACGAATCAACAAAATTAGTTATAATTATATCCTAATTCAAAAAATTGTTGTTTTTCATAATGGTCTTTATCCAAAGTATAGATTTTTTTAACTTAATGTCATCATATAAAATAGATAATGGCTCACATTTTGAATAACAAGTATAATAAATAAATTGCACTTAGGTACTTACTACTAAGAAAAATGTCTGTGTCGATAACTGTATTGAAACAGTACGAACTAAGAACTCGGTTTATCAATTCTATCGTCTATCGTCTATCGTTTCATTATGTTTTTTACCTTATCAATACTATACTCCTCAGATTATTTCAAATATCACGCATGTAGAAAATGCTGACTTAGTGACGACCCCGTTAATTTAACAATCTACTTTTTTTCAATTTTTCAATTTATTTATACCATTCTGAGACAGTGGAAAAAAATATCAATCAAAATCGTATTTACTTTTCGTTAATTATTTCAACACTCGCATAATCCATAAAAATTCGTCATCAATAGAAATTTCTTTTGATGGTCTAGCCAAGGCCTAACCGATCAAAGGTTAAGCACACACTGCATTCGGAAATCTAATATTATAATTATAATAAAAACTATGAAAATAATTAAAATTTTGTCCTCGTCGTAAAATAAAATGAATTCTATTCAAACAACAATTGAATATTTGAGTACAATGGATTTAAAATGAGATTTTTGTGTTTTCATTATTTTTGTACTCTATTTCCACAACAAATCTATTTGCTTTGAGTTTAAATTAATTTGCGAGTTATTATACTCGCTTAAGGAATTAATCGAAACTTAAATTATTTGGCGATTCTCCGGAAGCGTCTAAAAGTTTTCACCGAGAGAAAACTCTAAACGGTCTTGTAGGAAGACGACGATGACGATAACGACAACAAAACAACAACAATGGGCTACTCTAAACGCTATTCTGTGTGTGTGTGTGTGTTAATATACATATACTTATATCCATAATATCGCGAGCGTTATTGCTAAGGAGATAAACGATCGAACTTCGCATCTCTCGAAAAGGCTATTTCCTAACACGTCGAGATACCGTTAATTATTATTCTACGATTATAATTGTAGAGAAACTCTTTAACATCTAGGACAATTCAACCTCAAACAATGATGCAACTTAACAAGTAACCTTATGTTGTTTTTAGAAATTGGCGTTAGAATATGGATGTCATCAGTTACTATGGCTGTATGGCGATGACAGACAAGTCACTGAAGCCGGAACTATGAACGTTTTTATGTTTTACAAAAATCAAAAAGGGGGTAAGTTATTATTTTTTTGTATAATACTCAGATTTACTTTTGGTCTATTATGAGACATTTCATCTTTGAAAGCTTAAAATCAATTAAAACTCAACGGTTGATACATTTAGTAATATTACATGAATTTCAATAAATGAAATTTAATGAATTAATTTTACTCGAAAACAAGAAAATTTCTAACATTCCACTTTTAACTAATTTTACTAGAAAGATTTATTTTAAAACAAATGTAAATTAAATCTCCTACAATTTCTAATTTTGAAATTCACAATTACAATTTTCAATACTTCATTTATATTCAACGATAATTATTTTTGAACAATCATTAACTTGTCTAATTCCGGTATGTCTAGGACTATGATTATTAAGTACTTTTGTTTATATAATTACCCAACGTTTCTTATTTAATTAACAGAAAAAGTATTGTGCACGCCTCCATTGAACGGATTAATACTACCGGGTATTACCAGACAAACTGTACTAGAATTGACCAGACAATGGGGAGAATTCATAGTAGAAGAAAGAAATTTCACTATGGACGAACTAATCGAGCTTAATGAAAATAAAAGAGTAAGATCTAATCACTAATAATAATTTTTTTGTCAATGCCACATAATATATTTTACTGAATAACACCTAAATGATATTCACAATGACAATTATTACTAAGGATGTAGTACTATCAATTAATATTAACTACATTAACAATAGGTATAGTAATGTTATATTTAAAAAAAAATTACTTTATCAATTTTTAATCAAATAATCTAAAATCAAAAAGCATGGAAATTGTAACTACTGATAAAGAGAAGTAAAAATGGCTATATAAGATAAATAACGCTTCAGTGAATAATTGATTACATCACTATAGCTGTTTTTAGTTCGAAGAAAACAGCCTTTATCTAAAAAAGCTTATAAAAATTTGATAAACTTTTATCTCTTGACGTAATGATCAAAACATTATTTGACCATGTACTATATTTCCGCTAACTTGCAAACTCTTTTTCCACATTTATAATAATCGTTACGATATAAAATAAAACGATTACAAATTATAATACTGCATTAAATATATAATATATTGGTTTTTATTGATTTTTAACAATACCAGTTTTTTGTTATCAGTTCCCACGATTTTTATTCAATGTTTCAATGTTTAATTATTTACTTTTTATTTATAATTTTTCTGTTCACTATCGTTTTTTTTTTTGTTTTTTTATAGTTACTTGAAGTATTTGGAAGTGGTACAGCTGCTGTCATTAGCCCTATATCCTCAATTTTATACGAAGGAAAGGACATAAACTTGCTAACCATGGAACATTCATCTTCTTTACATGAAAGACTTTTCAAAACAATAACAGACATACAATACGGCATTATAGAGCACCCGTGGGCAAAGATGATCAACGATGAGCCGCAACTGTATGAAAAACAAACATACACCAATTATATCCAACAACAACTTTAGTTGTTCCTTAATTAATCGATTTTTTTTTTATTTGTTATATTTTATAATATAATTGAAGTATTTCAATCATTTTGTTGTTATGTTAACTCATTACTACTGTACAATCGAGATATGAAATATTAATCAAATTACCGAGCGATGAACATCGACTTTGGGTAATCATTTTCTTTTTTTTTTAATTTAAATATTTTATGTCAACCTAATTATTTCTACTTGTATAATTTATGATAAAATAATGTTATATGTTTATTTATGACAATAAAAACGTTTTCACACAGATTTTTTAATTTACCTATTTTTTTACTTGAAATTTAAAAAGTTTTAAATTCTTTTTATTTTAACAGAGTTATAACTAACGGCCATTTAGACAATGCATATTGAATTAAATTGATGAAAGTTGATTGCTTCTACTACCAACTCTACTTGTCTACTAATAATTGATTTATAATAACTAAGAAAGCCTTATGATGCCTATTTTTCAGGCATAGGCACCGCCTTACATGTTGTTTTTTCTTTTGGTATTTATTTAATAAAAAGCAAAATATTTACTTCAAGATACGTTATTAATATCTGTCTGACATAAAAATCATTGGAAATTAGAGTGTCGTGATTATAACAATGAGTTAGATAGGTTACCTTACGTTCGGAATACATGTAATGTATTTTTTATATTTTATGGAATACATGAAAAAATATTTTTTCAATTGAATCTTATCAAAAATGAAGGGATACTGATGTAGTTATTTTTTACACTTCACTTTCGCAGAAAGTATTTCAGAAATCGTTTGACTATAGCAGTTTCATCTTTCTTTTTTACATAACTGTAGGCACATTTATTTTATCTATGCAACTACCATCTGTTTTAATGCAATCGTGTATTTTTTAATTAATTATGAAGGACTGTTATACAATTAATTTCATTTGCATTATAGATATATTAAAAATCAATTCAAAGCTTGTGTTAGACCGCATAATGATTAAATAATGAAATATCTGATGATAAAATCAATGAATTTTATTTTATATAAATATAATATATTCAATGTTGCTCAAAAAAACTTTCTAAATGTAAAATATAAAACATTCATACATTAAAAACCATATTTATAAATTAATTTTTTTTTTTTTTTTTTTTATGACATAGTTAACAATATAATTTTCATTTTTCATTATTAATAAACACATAGTGTTGAATTTTTATTTATTTGTTGTTAATAGTTTTAAGTATCTCATAAACGTCATCTCCTATTGTACTAAGCAATACAACGACTTTAAATTTTTCAGATTTTCCATAAAAATTGTTTACCGTTAAGTATAAATGAAACTTATTTTTAATAAGTGAGTTAGTAAAAGTTTAACATTGATCACTATGGTTGACATTTCGCATATGTCAAGTAGATTCCGTTTCTAGTACTATAGTTCTATTATTCGACTGTGTCATGATATAGTTTACTTTTTTACTAGTACTATATGAACTATATTATGTTCATTAATAATTTTAATATGACAAAATCATATCCATAGGTTAGGTATATTACTTATTTTACATTATTAGTGATGCCTACCTTACAACATAAATTTATTTATCATTTCAAATCATTATTTAACGAAAAAAGGGTGGTAGTATTCTCAATAAATCACATCGTATAATAATATTGAGAGTGTTTTTAATGTAATATTTCGGGTGTTTTTTTTTACGATACTCCTACAAATAATTTTCTTAAAAATTTCGGCCTGTAACTCTCAATCAAAGTTACAAAACTAGATGGCTATTCTAAAACAATTTATTAAAGCAAAGTTTCTTGTAAAATGGTCGATTCGTAAATATTACTGTCTATTTCATAAATTATAAACCCAGAAGATAATTAGGAACAGAAATATTTGTCAAATCCAAAATTAATTGCTTGTCTAAAATACATGGGATATTATCGAATTGCTTTTTACAGTGTAATTCGTTGGAAGTATTGACTTGAATCGAGTACTAATTTTTACATTGTTGAAATCGAGGCTCCCTTTTAATTTAGATTGTCAAAATTCAGTCCTAACTTTGTCCTTTCAACCAATTAGAGTTTCCCGCAGTAGTCGAAGCGTATAATTTAGCTAAACAACTGGCCGAAAATCTTATATAGTCAGATGCACTTTAAATTTCATTTTGTATTTTCTTTCACGATTATATTTCACTTAAGATAATATTTAGGCATTGTAATATTTCCTATTTTCCAAAAATTATATTCACTTTTTCTAAATATTCAGTACATACAGTCATTAAATTTTTAGTATTTAGTTCTTTTTAGTTATATCATTTTTTCGTCTCAATGACATATATTAAATCTAATTGTTATATAGATCATTTTGTAGTTAAAGTCCACAAACATCTAAGGATCAGGTCAACTAATAAGTAGGAGTCTATCAAAATTTATATTTCATTAGCTAAAACGCTATTGATATCGCAATACCAAAATTCATTTATTTTTATACATATTTTTGAGTCAATACTTTCAACTGGATTGATCAGCCGTAAAAAACTATCTTAGACACTGATTTATATAACTTTGATGTAAATATAAAACTTAACTCATAGCATTGAACCATAAAAACAAATCCGGGGCGCAATAATAATCCCTGTTTGAATACGGCAGCTAAATTCAATTATCTATTGAAAATACTCAAGAACAATTTTATAAGTAAACAAGTTGGTTAGGATTCAATTAAATGTTACCCAGTTCAATACATAAATGGTTTGATAAGTGTATTTTATCCTAAAAAAACTGAGATGACGCCATAGAAATAATTACCATGGTTACTTCTAATTATTTTCTTAAAAAAATTTTTAAAAAAATAGACTAAAATTAATACTTTATCTACCTATTGCAGCTTGTTTTTTATTGATAATATTATTAAAAAGATAATATGCTGATGTTTTTCTAGTTTAACGTCTGCTTCATTAAAAAAAAAACCCATCACAGTGGGGTCGCGGCACAGTAGGAACGAGGCAAAGTTAGGTTNAAAAAAACCCATCACAGTGGGGTCGCGGCACAGTAGGAACGAGGCAAAGTTAGGTTCAGTATAGATTTAATCTGACAGTGATTAAAATCACTATCATAAGAAACGGTTCGATGCAAATCTGTAGATAGTGTTTAATTTTAAAAAAATTGGTGGATTATTCCAAAAGCAACATGATCTCCTATTTCCTTATTTATATTCTGATTACAAGTTTTATGATTTATAAGTGTAATATATGAATTAATATTTATTATAGCAATTAAATATAGTATGAAATTGATGTTTAATAATTTAGTATTGTAATTTTCACGGAGATATTATAAAAAATTATAAAGGAGTTATTACTTTTATGGCAAACGTATATAAAATTTAAAGGTTGTGACGTAAAAAATTGACCTATCATTAATAGTACTATTTAACACATTAGTTAATTAAATTAGTTATTGGTGAACATCATATAATTAAGTGTAACTGCTCAGCAATTGGTAATGCGGTGTTATTGTCTAAGTAGTGTTAATTTCGTGGTGAATCAAAACTAATTTTGAACATTATAATTAAGTAATAACATAATTAAATCTTCCGAAATAATGCAGTCGCAAATCCCCTTTTTATATTTTATCTGTTGTACAATCGTTCATAACAAATTATCATTATGATAACAAAATGCCCAGCCGACCACTACAGTACTGTCAAAATTCAACCGGTCCCAGATGTCTGTCGACTAGGCATCACTGATGTCGGCGTTTGTTTCCCCTTCCGGTCCATGTGTGTCGTCGCCATCAAGTGGTCTGGCCGTTTTGTTGAAATGTGTTTTGCCCGGTCGTCCTATTCTATCTCCAGCCATCTACTTATTTTTTCTTTTGTATACTGAACATATCATGGCTGCTTAACTTCTACTTTTGGCCCTGGCGATCGAGCCATAGGTGAAGATTCATTTGTTGGCTACGGCCTGGACATCATCATAATTATAATTTGGTAACTTTGTACAGCATCCCCGTTTTTCTTTATTTTCGTCCATTTTCATTATTTCTTATATTCGTGCATTGTCACGAGGTTTCTTTAAAAATAACTTAAATGACAATAATATATTTTAATTATTTTAATATGATTATTCTATCTGATCTCTTGGCACATTTGCTCATTGACTATTAATAAATTATTGTAAAATATCATTTTTTTCCATCTGGTAATTATTTTTGTCATGTTGAGTGTAACAAAACCTCACATGTGTTGGACCAATCTAGACGTGCTTAGTAGTCTCAAGGCTCGGTATAAAAGGCCTAGATCCATATTGACCGATGTCAAGTTGTTCGTTAGAGCATTATTGCAATGATAACCATTTTATTTTACTCAATATTGAAAAATACTCTCCTGGCCTTTTTTTTTTTTTTTTACACGACCGGCTTAGTTGTAGGCCACCCTGGAACTACCGTTAGGTATTACTTCAGGGCGGCCCACGCCGTTTTTAAAACTCACACCACCACGTTGTGAATCAGCCCGAAATTAATCAAGAGCTGATTCACAATGTGGAGTGGCCTCCCCCGTTCAATGCGAGGGGGTCAAAAATAACACACAACACATAACATTAAACACATAGTACCTAAGGCGCCGGCCTAAACCAGCGCCTTAGGTCCTCCTGTACCGGGCGGCGCGGCTGCCTCTGTCTCAGGCGTTCAGCTTCCTCCTTCTTTTTCAAGATGGATTCGGCGAACGCCTGGACGCCTCCCGGCTTCCCAACATCAGGTCCACCAGGGACCCGACTCGGAGCGTGGACCCTAGACGGGACTCCAGAGAGTCCCGTTCCTGGGCCCACGCCTCGCACCGGAAGAGGGTGTGCAAGCGCTATCAGCCTCTACCGGGCGATCCGAACAGTGGTCGCACGTCGGTGCGGCTGCTTTACGAATACGGTGCAAGTACTCGTTAAAGCAGCCGTGCCCGGACATCACTTGGGTGAGACGATAAGTCATCTCACCGTGAGTCCGGACCAGCCGATCGGGTCCTATGAGGGACCTGGTCCACTCGACTCTCCTGGCCCTTGGTCAAATCGAACATAGTCAATACAGCAGTGTCGGAGATTATTTTTTCCTTCATTTCCTTTTTATTCTATTGGTCCTTTAGATCATTTAATAATTTGTAATAATTTTAACTATGACTTCAAATATGTTATATAAAAGAATTTGTAATTTTATTTTATTTTGAACATTTGTAATTTATAACTGACATTATTTTATTGTACTTCGGGCATCATTATTTTATTTAAACTTAAATTTGTTCCAAGTTATTTTCATTATATAAAATAGAACATCATCGCCCATACTACTCGTCTACCAGTTTTTAATTCTTTTTCCCCTAGAGTTAAGGTAAAAACTTAGTAAATTAAAACAACAAATGTGTCAGTTACATTTAAAATTCCACTATGCTCCGGTCTGGTAGAGCCTCGGCTAGTGGTGGAACCAACTTTGTGTGGGTTTATGTGTTTTATCAGTGACAGCCTCACGGTTAGTTATCGGTGAACGTCACAAGGTCTTGATGCAATACTGAAAAATATTTTTTTTTGTTATTTATAAATAAATTTATTGGTCTACAAGAAATTTTCATCTGAAACCAAAATATACTTTTCTAAAGCTATTTTTGCGCCAATTTCAAATCTGCAGTTAGAGTTTCGCATATGGCCTTTATGGCGCATAAATAATAACAAAATCCTTCTAATTAATATAACAAATATTTATGTTTGATAAATAGATTACGTATAAATAATCAACAAATATATTTTAATTAAAAATAAGTTGAAAAAGTTCTACTTTCTATACGCATTTTTATATTTTGAATCCCCCCAGTATAAAGGGAAATAGTCCGATTAAAAAAAAATTATGTTGCACATAAGAAGTATATAAATAGTACATATCATAAAAAGATTTGTAATGATCCATACATTTTTCAAAAATTTATGGCAGTTTTAATTAAAATAATTTTAAAAATTTCGAAAAATTCTGATTTATAAATTTGTAATTTTTTTTGTAAATTTTTCCCATTTACGAGGAACAAGAGGAATTTCTTCAATTTTTTAGGGTAATGTCTTCGATTAGATACGATTTGTGATCTTTGAAAGAAATCGCTTCAATGAGAGCTGAGAAAAAGTGGTAACAGACAAAAAAAAAACATAGTAAAATTAATACCTTCTAAGCTTTGCATCGGAGCTAAAAATGAACACAGTTTTTTTTACCAAAAACACTACTAACTCAACGTTCAGAAATTGTTTTTCATAAATAATACGTTTTAATAAGTGAATTCACAGTCTGTGATAATCGGATAACTCTGTTTATCATAATCTACTTTATTACTCACAAAATAAATACATTATTGAAAAAAAATGTTTGGTTTATATTAGTTATACATATTTTTTTTAATGAAAAAAGAACTCTACCAAAGACTTCTAAAGCGGCGCAATATGGCGCAAGTGACACACTAATTGCCGATAAAGATACGCAAAATTTTACAATGGTAAATACATTATGTCCCTTTTTCGAAAAATAAAGAGAAATAATTGCACGTAATCCTTCCAATAGTAAAACACCAGTTCAACTATTTTAACTGGCTATGACAAAACTTAGTCTTTAAAAAAAGAAAAAAATTTCTTTATATATATATATTATTAAAAATCTAAGGATATATTACTTAAATTCTATTTCTGAAAATTTAGTTAGCAAATTCTATTTTATTTAACATTTATAAAACAAATTATTTTAAATTTAGATCCTGAGGTATTTACACTTGTATTTTTGCTTAGATGACTGAAAATTCCTTCAGTATTATACCAGTTAACTCATAAAAAGAAATATTTATAAGCATGAAATATAATTTAAAAATCGATTAACTATTTTTTCCAATATCAAATTTTAAAGAAATGAAATTTATAACGATTCAACAAATTTAGACTATTTAAATTATAATAAATTAATTTATAAATAGCAAATGAAATTTTATAAAAAAATAACGGATTACACGACTTATTTATTATTAAGTTACTTTTAAGCAAGAGCATTACTTGAGATTGTACTAGACTGAAGCATATTTTTCATCCACGGCATCATAAGTAAATTTAAGTTAGCTATGTAAATTTGATAGTATCATAAAAAATATAAGGAGTTATCTTATAAACTATTTATTTCCTTAATAATAATTATTAAAAATACACTAAAGTATAAATGACTAGAAATCATCATAAATAATTACGTAACTACAAAATTGTATAAAAATGAATACTTAATGTATTTCAATTCAGAAAATATGGAACAAGAAGTGAAAAATTACATTAAATTAATTAATTAAGAATTAATATAGCTATAATTTATATATATATATATTTTAATTTCTCTTGGAATTCTTCATCTTTAAATTCTTTGGAGGCTTTTTTCAGTTTTTGATGGACTATATGATTACATAATTTTTTAACCAACAAAAATTTAAACATGTATTTTAGTATAATCATAGAAAACCAAACTTTTAAACGTTGCAACAGTCCTAGACTTTCCTTTAAATTAGAAGCGTCTATTTGTAATAAATCACATAAGTAACACATTGATAGACTAAACGGTAAAGCACCACTCATATAAATTTGAATCCCTTCAGCTGCACATCTAGACATATGCTCCCACTTATTCGTTACCATCCGAAAATTAGGTATCACTGCCCATTGAACGTATTGTCTACATCTCACGGTCACTTCTTCAAACGTTCCTCTGCAAATATTATAATCATCATTTATACCCATGTAATATCCAATCGTTTTCCAAAGATGAACAAATCCTTCAAAATCCTCTTCTGAGTAATTATGAATACCGAACCATTCTGGATACAACAGAACCAATCCAAAAAATCCAAATAATGTATTTGACAAATTCGTTTGTGTAATTGTCGAGTTCTTATGTCCCAAGTCAACAGTTGGTCGACCGACATTTTGTATACCTTTGAAGTCTGCCTGCATCTTAGTTAAAGTTGGGCACATAATATTTCCTGTAACTTCACACTTGGATTGTAAATCATTGTTTGATATACTGGATATTTCATTTTGTACTCTACTGTGCATTTGAAATACTTTTTGTAAATTATTGTTACCTTTAGTGCCTTTTGTCAACAAATCGGTCTCAAACCAAGATTTAACGATTTTAGATGTGAGGTAATATCTTCTGTATGCTCTGTATGGCGTATCAGAACGTTTTGTATAAATCAATGTATCTAGTCCCATTTTGTTACTAGCGAAAAGAATGAACAATGACAACATTTCTGAAAATGCAATTCCTGCATAATTTTCCATTGCGAATTTTTGACCTTTCTTGATTTTTACTGGGTCTATCCAGTTGGGCTTGTTTTTTACTAAGTCGTCAAAACTTCCATTTAAGGGTAATTCATGTCCCTGCACTTGTAACTCCCACTCTTTTTCAATTATGGCATCTTCATCACTAATAGAAATTTCATGGCAATCTGCTATCTGCGTCTTGCCATTTACATCTGTAAAAGATGCACCCAATGAATGACTTAAATAAAATTGACAGGATAAAAATAATTCTAAGAAGAAATAACATGGGCGTCATGTACCAAACTTAATTTAAAATTTTCTGCTTTTAAATTAACTCAAAGATCTTATACAGTTGAAAATAAAATAAATTACTAGTTAAGCCCAATGACAATAACACTAAAATGGTGACAAAAAAAATATTTATAGAAAATTGAAGTATAGTTATCATTAACCACTCACAGATTAATTACAAAATCGAAATCAATTTTTTTTAATTTAACATATTTTTTGATTTATCAGCAACTAACAACTTTATAGCATCATCTCTAATAATTTATAGGGGTGACAACTTAGTTAGCTAATAACAACCAAAATACTGGTATAAAGTTGTTATCGATCAGTCACTTTCTTAGGTAAATCATTTTCTACTTTGTAAATTAGTTTAAAACATATATGTCCATTTAAAAAACTAAAGTTAATGTCTTTAAAAGCGTAAGGGATAAATTAATTAATAACTGATAAATCAAGAAATATATGATACTGAAAAATACCAAAAATAATTTTCTTAACAGAATATTTTTAGAGAAATCAAGTGGATTATGACAAAAGTAAAGAAAAACAATGAAATGTACAAAAAGAAGTACCAAGCAAATATAAAACAGCTGTAACATTATTTTAAATAATAAAGAAGATTTTGTATATTATAAATATTAGATGAACAGAACTTTATTTATAAAATTCATACCTTATTAGCATAAAATAAATCCACCTAAGTATAAAAGAGTATGACATTATTTTACTTAGCATTATCCTATACAATGAAATTAATAATCGTAATTTATATTGATTTTTACTATGTGATTAAAATTGTTTTAATTTATATTTTCTCACAAGTACATCAATTAAACAGAACAACATTAACAAAAAAAATTTTATTGTTTAAATATTTTTATAAGAATTCTTTAAGAAATTTTGATGCTGATTTCGAATCGGGTTCGAATTTTTTTCTATTACATGTAATAATTGCTAATTAGTATTTAAGCAGTAATTATACAGTAAAATCATCATAAAAAAAATTATAACTTTTTTAAAATTATTTCAAGATGTTTAATAAAAATCTTATAAAATTTAGATCTGATCTATCAAATTTAGATCTTTAAAATAGAGTTTGTCATTTTTCAAAAAAACATTTTATCTTTTGAGTAAATTTTCTTTTTGGTTTAACTTATAATTATGAAAGTCTAATCAGCAAATAGATAATTTTCTAGGAATTAAACAATATTAACTTCGTGCACTTTAAGTAGATATAAAGCGATAAAATATAGGAAAATTCAACACAATTAATAGGTTTTTTGTATACTTTTAAAGTATTGTTTAATTTTAAAGTAATGATATAATACAATATTATATACTTTTTAACGGTAAATACAATGATGTGTTTAGATTTTACATGTACAATTGTATATTAATTATTTATATTATTATAAACAGTTTGTTAAATACAATTTGATATATAATTTATACTTTATACACGTCAACTTACCATCATTAAAATGTATTATTGAATTATTTTGAGTTTAAAACTCTGATTAATAATTATGATCAAATTCATGATTTCCACACCTTAATCAAAATTTTGAATTTAGAAAACTAATTAAACTGATGGCTTGATACAGTATTCTTTTAACAAAAACTCAATGTAAAATTTAAATTAATGAAATATCCTTAAAGAGGAGTTTTGTTTTTATATTTATTTTTTCAACTAAAATACTCGTCGTAACATTTAAGTTAATTTTTAGTATGAATATAATTATAAGCATCAAAATAATGAACGCCATAGTTTCAAGGTCCAATAACATACGCAACTGTTTCATATATGTATTAAATTTTACGTATTTTTCATACTTCCTTAAAAAAAACGAAGGTCGATATTGTGTTAAATATAAAATTCCACAGTTATTTTATAAATAACTTTAGATTAATTTTGAAGAAACGTTCAGTTATCTTACGTTAAAATATTTATATAATTACAGCGGTATAAGAAATAACTATATGTTTTTTTGTAATTAATAATGTTTTTTATACAATATTTAGAGACTCTCAGAAAATATTATAATAAGAAATTTTTATTTCGCACATATACAATTAAGTAATTTATTTGTTTTATTTTTCAATTTAATTACTCCTTAATATTTTTTACTAAAATTATTTTTAATTTAATTAAATTTCAAATTTTATGTTGCAGATTAAAATACTAGTTTTTGAATTTTAATCATTTTTCAGTTAAAAACAATATTTAAATGGAAATAAAGAGAATTGTTAACTAGTTTTTTAGATTTAAACTAAAAAATTCTTATAATTTATTAAACTACCTTTTAAAATAAGAAGCATCCGCAATAAATGAATTAAAATTTTCTAATTGTATATCTAAAATTGTGTCAACATTTTATTTATAATCAAATTGCTATCAGTAACTGAATAATTTTCACACTAAAGCATACTGCAACTTTATTAATAGTTACGAATATAGTGAAATTTTGTACTCGATTTTTAAGATAAAATCCTATAATAAAGAATTTTTTTAGGATATTGGCTTCCAATCTGTTCACTTTCAAGAACTTAAAAATTATGATTTCTAAAAATACTATCACTCCTTATCCTTACCTATTGTTTCGTCAAAATCATATTCATTTCAATTGATTAATTTGTATGAATTTAAAAAATAAAATTTCAACTCAATAAAATTTAAAAACTAGAGGCCGATTTTGTAAAGCGTTGGTGCTTAATACGCACTGTTTTGGGTTCAAAACTCGGTAGGGGAGGCTCTGTTTCTGAGAGAAACATCAATCAAGTAAATGGAGCCCCTCTCTCCAGCGATAGATTAACAATCTACCCCTAAATATCCATAGTTAAGAAACCTCCTCATCGGAGGGGGCTACAATGGTCCGTAAAAACGAAAAAAGTCAATAACGATATATTATGCTTTGACGCCGTTAGAATTTAAAATAAAACTGACAATATATATTGAAATTTGTAAACGGTACACTCAAGCTTTGTTAATATAATAAACATGTTAATAAACAATAAGTAATCTTGTAATAAATTATGGCTATTGGCGATATTCATTTCAATTTAAATGGCAAGCGTCTATGCTGCAAAATAAAAGTATTTATTATTTTGACACCTGGTAACAATAGTTCTACAAAAGAAGCTAAAATATACTTCTTTTCTATTTCTTCGAACGTGCCTTGACCTAATTGCATAAGGTAAAATTGATATTAAATACTATTTTATATCCAATTCTTAAGTGACAATAAAATGATTCAATATTTGTTTGGATTCAGAAATGTTATAATACATGACAACCCTGATTATTATTATAAAACTAAATTAAAATTATTTTCTTTTGTGTACTATTAACTACAGTTGGGTTTTATTGTTGAAGCCTTACTTGACTTCCAGGTAAACCTCAAATTAATTGTATTCTTGAGTATTCACGATTATATTTAACTGAGATTTATCGAGAAATTACTTTGATTTCTAGACAACAAAATTTTTTATTTATAAAACATTGAAAGTTATTAATTTCAATCAATTAATAACTATTATATCATGCTATTTGCATAAAAATTACACTTTCATATTGAATAGTTATTGAATTTTTTTATTCATGTATTGTATTTCACCAAAACGACTTTTGTTTTCAGAGGATGTTTATTTGGATAATATTCTTGTTTTCGAGAATTTTCTAAATATCTATTCAAGTACTATTTCAATATTTTTTTTTTTACATCTAAATTCTACATTAAAAATTAAGGAACGCGTATTTATAATTTTTATATTATTACCATTTTTGACAAAGTCACAACCCCTTAAATATTGCATACACCAATTTGAGGTCGTAGTCGTGTCATGATACCATGTGTTCCATGTACTACATGAGCATTCAGGGTATTTCTATCATTACATCAATATCGTATTTTGACTAAGAAAATTAATGTTTATCGTTACTGTATGATATAAAGCAATTAAATGAATACCTGTTGTTTAAATGATTATCTCATAAAATAAAATTATAGAAAAGTTTTATTATGTCAACAGCATAAATTCCTTAATGTTTATGGTTCATTGAATTAAAATTGATAATACTTATTTAGTCTCTTGCTTGCATATTAATATGTTTAATATTATTGTTGTAAAATCCTCACTAAGATGTACTAATATATATTAGTTTTTAGTATTTTTTTTTTTTGTATTATTTATAGTTATAACAAATGCATTTGTAAATTTATTTCTTACAATTAGTACCTAATAAAAATAGTTTAAGGCGTTTGAATCTTTTTAAAAAAATGCATTGCATAGTAAACGATGTTGAAAATTTATAATTAATAAATAATAATGAATATTATCAATTTGTAATTTGAATTTATAATCGCCACAAGTTTGTTGACATTTAATAGTACAATACTATTCAAGCTTTACACTACAATAACAGATACTTAATGAATCATGGATACGTCAATCTCAAAATATCTAAAAAAAAAAAATGTTTACGCAATAGAAAAATAATATTAATAATTATAAGTTTATAATGTAGTCAAATTTTTTTAAAATTAATTTAAAAAAAAAATAAAAAGTGTTATTAGATAAAGAATTATAAGAGTTCTGTTCCACTCTGTTAAGTATTTTTACGTTTATCAATTTTTTAATTTTATAGACAATAACGCCTTTACCATTTATATGTATTATTACATAACCTATGTGAATTTAAATTAATACATGATATAATATTTACTATTAGGTATAGAAATTAATTTAATATATTAAAACTAATAACTCATAGTAACATCTATAACTGTGAGTATTAAAATAATTACCAATAGATTAAATTACATTGGTGACATAAGCGAAAATAGGATGGTACTATGGCTATTTAGTATCCTCTGGAATGACATTAGTGCCTCCAGGCAGATTTCAATATTTTTTTTAAATTTTGTAACAAAAAATAAAATAATTCTTTGTATTATTGTATAAATTGGTTATTGTTCTTTTTAATCTTGTCTTTTAATAATGTAAGTATGCAAAGTCATAGGTACTGTACGCATATTTAAATCTAAACAACTTTTATAATTTAACAATTATAGTTAAAATACTACAGTGATATGAAAAAAATTATTTTTATAATGTTATATATAATTGTTTATTTATAAATATATAAATAAAGGGACGGGTACGTCATTTTAAACAAAGCATAACATTTTTTTTAGTTTTTTGAGTTTTGTCACGCCAAAGTTCAAACACCATTTGCAATTATGCGTAAGAGTAAATTTATTAAAAATATGACTGTAAATTAAAAAACTGATCCATTTTTAACTTACATCTTAGTTGATTCATGATAAAAAAGTTTACTACAATATACGCTTATAAATTACTCTCAAGATCACAGTAATTGAATGGAAACATTATTTTTAACACAAATATTTTTCGCGCATAATACTTTAATATTTAAATTTTAGAGCACAGCACAAAAATCACCAAGATATAAGATTTGTTTCAAATTATACTAGTAATTAAACTAAAAAAAATTAACAGGGAAATACATACAGATTACTGGTAGACTATAAGTTACAATCCCCTCTCACTGTCATTGCAAGTATAGAAGGGGAATGTATATACTTCATTCACTTTTTCTTAGTACCTATAAATATAATATATTTATAGAATATATTATATTCTAAATAATTTATTATCAATGATGGTCATAATTTTTTTAAGACCTATTAAAGGTTTAGCGCCGTGACTTCGCAATGAATGAATTTATAGTAAAGAGGCGCATATCTAAATAAACTTATTTGCGGAGGAGAGTATTTCACTATTTTGTTAAAATAAGAGCTATTTTTCAAAAAGAGGACCTTTTTAGAAAATAATTCTTATGTTAAAATTCGACGTGTCGCAAAATATGTCCTGTCAAATATATTACTGTGTTGAATGCAAAAGAATTATTAAAATACAATTACACTAAAGACAGTTCGTTAAAAACTGTATGAATAGGTTAAGAGAATATTATTGATAAATCTATTATACAATAATAAGAATGACGTTCAAACCATTTTGGTGTAGTTTATTATTATTCACCCTGCTAATAATCGGATGCATAACAATCGGCGGCGGGTTGACTGCGAATGGCATATTATCACTGAAACAGCTCAGTGATTATAAAAACAATATTTAAACTGTGAAAGTTCATTATAAAAACTTTCAAAAACTTATTTTGATTGTTTGCTGTCATCATAATAGCAACGACTCGAGCTTAGTAAAAAACAGATGTATCAAACGATATTGTTATTGAAATAACCATTTTTTAAATGAACAAGAATTTATCTAATAACTGTCATTATAAAAACATTTAGATTATGTGATGCGAACTTATAACGCTACATAAGTTTTCGTAACTCGTTAAAACTAAGATAATTAAAAACGTTGAACGCGTTAAAAGTCCTTAAATAATTTATTTTATATATAAGTTAATATATAATCAGGTACTTTATCTAATGTGTGTATATTTTCTTGTGAACTACTTCACACGAAATAAAATAAAATACCTTTATAGTTAGTAAGTTAAGTTCAAAAGGGTTTGTTATATTAACGTAAATATACCCACGTTAACATTTAAAAAGATAGATTTTTTCAAAAAAAAATAAAACTATCTCATTCATTCCAAAATTCATAAATTTGAACAAGAAAATTTTAGAATGTACACCAGTTTTAGAATAAAAAAATTATACTTACTAAAATTAATAGTTAGAATGGGATAAATAAAAATTTATGGTAAAAAATACAAAATGTTAAACCTACTTTTAGACATTAAAAAAAACTACTCATTTCATTTTTTGGTTCCTTAAAGTAAAATTATCAATTTTAAATCCTTCTATTTCCCAAACTTAACATGCAAGAGGGTGATGGCACAGAAATATTTATAAGCCCTGCAAATGAACTGGTGGGAAGAGAGGTAAAATAAATAAATACAGTATAGAAGTTTTCCGTCAGATTATTTTTCCAACTGTATGAAATAGAATATAGGACCATAACTCTCACAGAGAATTTTTCTAGATACGTCCATGAAGAGTTCAATTCTTTATGACATTCAGTAGAATGTTTTTCTGTATACTCTACTTAAATAGCAAGCAAGGGTTTACCAGCATATAATAAGTTATATAATATGTTTTTGTTATTATACTATCATATTTGCCCTCGCAATTTTTATTGACCAAAGTAATATTGTAATTAAGTTTTTGCCATAGATTAAATCTGTTTTTTTCAGTATTTCATTTATACAGGGTGATTTTTTTATTATAACCCACTCAATTACTTACAGAATAATAATAATTAAAAAAAAATTTTTTATCATTATCTTTAGTTACACATTATTCTTGAATTATTAACTATGTAATACTTTTTAAGTTCATCCCTTATGCCTGATAAGGGTGTCAACTTTGTTTTTATAAATGGGAACACATATTTTGAACTTAATAAAATGTTTGAGTTTTTAATTTAATAGTAAATGGCATTTGAATTTTGAAAGGTTACAAATATATAAAAATCAAATTAATTGGCCGCAACGAAAAATTTGTAACTTTCATGGCGTTTTACAAAGTTATAAGTAAAGGGTCGCCAACCTACTGGGCGAGACAGTATATTGTCGGACCACAGTAGGATTTAAAAAAAAAATTAACTTTTTTATATTAAAACAATTAGAAAAAAATATATAATTAATAAATATTAAAGTTGATGTCCGTTGAGTCGTTGATAGTAGATGTACACTAAAACCTCGTGACAGTTGTCACATAACCATATTAATGAGGGATGACCTTATACAAGGCCGTTGCCCGTACCTTATAAACTAGGGGAGTTGATTTTTGAAAGGAGAAAAAAAAATACACGAGTCCATTGAAGATGGGACACGCAAAAAAAAGAAAAATATGATGGTTCAGTTAAATTAAGGGGAATTTATTAAAAAAACAAAAAAAATTAAGTTAACACGAGGCAAAAAACCGAATGGTCAAAAAACCTCGTCTACAAATTAAAGGGGAACAAAGAAAGAGAGAAAAAAAAAAGATATTAATAAAAAAAAATAGTTACACCTACACTTTTATTATTAGAGAATACGATGACCGTCTTCGGGTACCCGCCGGCTATTAATCGCAGCATTGCCGCTAAGCACGGCGGGTATACGTCCCAAGTAAGCGACTGGTTTTTGGCAGTTAGGCTTAGCTTGCAAGACGTTGGGACACCCCGGAATAAAATGCACTACGTCACCACATTGTACCAATAATATATNGGACACCCCGGGATAAAATGCACTACGTCACCACATTGTACTAATAACATGTTCATCACCCAATAAAATATAATATAAAACCTATAAAAAATCACAAAAAAAATATATATATAACATGACAGGTGGTCTTGTACACGCCTGCCATGTTGCGGGACCTACATAAAAAAAATAGGGGCACCTAAATAAAAATAAAAAAATATTAAAAAATTTGCCACACGTGCTTACGGCACGGCGCACAAAACAAATACTATAGCTCAAAACATGGTACACAAAAATTATACATTACCAGCCCCGAAGGGCTAAAGAAACTGGAGGTAGGTTCAGCCGACGCCAATAAAAAAAAACTACATAATAAACGAACAGCGGACACTCTCGCAAAAAAAATGTATATATATAAAAAAAAACAGTTGTAGCGCACACAACAAAAATTACGACCGCTATGGACGAAAATTAGCGACGACCAGTTCCGATGATGGCTAATTTCCGACAACCCGTCCGACGTTTGACCCGGCGGTCCGTTGGCGACCAAACGGCTAGCCGTTAGAGTAAGGGTCAAAAAAAAAACTTAATACCCAGTG